CAAAGAAATTTTCAAAAACCCTTTCATATTAGTATTTGGTCTATCAGTGCTTTGTATAAAATCATTAAATACAGAAGTTTTAAAAAAGGAAAGTCTTACGTATTCTCTTATAGGATTATAAACATAAGGGTGGTTCTTCTTTTTAACTCAATTCAATATCCAATATATATGACAGATGTCATGTCAACAAATTAAAATTAATGAAGGGTTATTTAGGTAACATCTTAGAACAAAAATATTATTATTACTACTCAAAATAGAAACAAGCAACAGGGGGCACCTGGGTGGCCTAGTCCAGAGTGTCGGCCTTAAGCTCAGATCATGATCCCAGAGTCCTGGGATCAAGCCAGCGATGGGCTCCCTGCCCAGTGGAGAGACTGCTTCTTCCTCTCCCTCTGCCCCTCCCTCCCACTCCATGTTTTCTCTCGCTTTCATTCTATTTCAAATAAGTAACTAAAATCTTTCTTAAAAAAGACACAACTGTCTGATCTGTATCAGTGATTTTTTTCTAATCCACATTATACTAGATTCCATTCTAAGTCTACTTAAAAACGTCAAATGTGTTTTTATTGGTAGAATATTTGGGAGCTTTATTCATTCTGCAAATGTTTATTGAGAATGTACTACTACAAAACATTTTTCTGGGCAATGGGGATTTATACAACAATAAATGAAACAGACAAGCACTTGTCCTATTAGAGTTCACATTCTAGTCTTATCACAGTTTGTCATACATGCAACATTTGACTTATTATAAATTTCAAAGTTGGTTGAGATAATAGTTGTGTTTCATTGTGACTACTACTCTACTTTTATAAATGTATGTAATCACGTTTGAGTTAAAAGGACCCTAGACATTTAGGACAAACTCCAACGAATGAAAGTGAAATCTTACTCCAGCCTCTGTGTGCCATTTGCAGTGATCAGGAATTCATCCATTTTCCAGGGTTCAATACTCCTTTCTGGGTTGACTCACCTGCTACATCATTCTTCTCTATGTTGAGTCATAGTCTTCCTCTCAATAGCTTCAACTTGCTTACCCTGGTTCTGCTCTCTAAAGAGATAAATGAGGTACATCAAATTCTTCTCCTAAATAAGACTTAATTATTTTGCCACCTCACCATGTCCCTTCTTCTTTTTTTTTTTTTTAATCTACTTCTTAAAAGGCAAAAGTTACTCTCGGATTATTTTTAATGTGTTAAAGGTTTACAAAAAAGCACCATAGCACCATCTGTTGTTGCAAAATGTCACTGCAACTTCCTAAACAGGTCTTCAACACCTGCATCCGTGATCTGGAGCCAAATGGCATATGATTTCTCGCTTAGGATGTGTAATGGGCATATGGACGTTCAATGTAAAATTCTTCAATCTCTTTGTGTACTTGAAATATTTATAGTTTAAAAAACAGCATGGCTAGGACATAACAGGTGTTATATAAATGAGCACACAATAAAGCTTGAAGGGTAAGCAGGGGCTAAACTTACTTGAGGTCTCATGGGTTATGCTAAGTTTCAGTTATTTTCTTCTCTGCAAGTACCATCAACATTGATTTAAGCCTGTCAATTTCCAAGAATTCTAAATAACAGAATCCAAATTTGTAAGTTTATTACAATCTGCATTGCTATTTTCTTTTTACGAATGTTCTCCAGCATTTCAGCAGATAGCAGACACAAGTAAATGTTTACTCCAAGTAGTTTATTGGGTGCCTTTACAAGATTACTTCAAAAAGGAGTAGAAAACAAATTTTTAATTGAAAATAGTAATAACATCTTTATAAATGTTACTTAAATATCAAAATGATTTGAAGAGAAAATGAAATGAAAATAATTTTATGCAATCTAAAATGTGGTGATACACAAATGTATTTAATATACCTTTGCCATATAGATGTCCTTTCTCTATTACATATGGAATTTGTGTATTGAGGACTAAAAGTTTGCAATAATAAAAGACTGTATTCACACTTGGTAACTTTTTATTTAATCATAGCAGGTTTCCAACATGAATTTTCTTGAAAAGTGTACTAAGAACTCAATAAAATAGAGACTCTCTACATTAAATGGCCAGATCTAATAAATGGTAATATTAAATCTAAATTTTGTTTTAGGGGTAAAATTCATGATCGTTATGATAGTTGAACAAGTCATTAAGTAAATCTGGTTTGAGAAATGCTTATTTTGGCAGTGTTATACATTGGTGGCTATTGGCCATGGAATCACTCATGTCACTAATAATAGATATAGGTTCTGAGGCTGGAGGGATGATAGTGGATGTTAGGATTTAATTTGCAGGCACCTAACTACAGTTGCAATGGAAGAGGTCATTATGAATTGTTTTTGTCAAGCGGGAGTGATGGTGTGACTTACTGATTTCCTACCAACACAGGCAGCACTGGTTTGGAGGAGTAAGTAATGGATGGCTTTGAATCACATGTCCACAGAAATTATAGTGCTTATAGATTCAGGTGATGGGGCACTGAAGGGTTCAGTGAAGTTGTCTGTTGTATTAGTACATACAGTAGGAAGGGAGACTGTAGAAATGGTGGTGCACAGAGATGGTATTGGACTGTAGGACGGACTGTTGCAGGGCTCTCTATCAGGAAATTTCATTAGAAGCTGTGGTACTGGCATGTTTTATGAATGTAATGCTATTATTGTGGCTAAGGACTTATTTGAAAGGGTGGGGGATGGGCTAACCGTATCGTGAAAGTAGATGACTTAAAATTCATGGTTGCACTTTCCATTAACAGGTAATATCAATTATAGAGATTATACATTCAACTAAAGTCAAGTCATTATGGTGTGACTGGAAAGTCTGTTGAGTTGCTAGCATGTGTTTTATGATATTTATACTTGGTGGCAGTGGAGCTGAAGATGATGTTTTAGTTGAGTCAGAAAACAGACTAGATTCAGTCACTGAAGCAGAGGTAGCTATGGCAAATAATGCAAATTCAATTGAGGAGCAGAGAGTAGTGTCTAGAGATCCTGTTAAACTGATGGTGATTATAGGTTTATTTGAAATGGGAGCAAGTCAGATATGACTAAGTTTTTAGATGATTTATGTAGTTGTACCTTCAGCAATGGTGGGAGGGATTGCCAATATAGATTAGAAAGAGCTGAACTGGTATTGCAATCTAACAGAATATTCAGCAAAAGTGAGAGCAGTCACAGATTCAGTTACTAAGACCCTGGTAGAAATGACTGTGGGTGCAACAGAAATGATAACAGCAAGTGTGGTAATGCAATCAGCTGAAAGACGATGCTTGGAATTCCGGGGGTAGGTTCAGATGAATAAAAGGTGCTCACAGTTGTGCTGGTGGTATAAGATGAAGTGGTGACTGCTGTGGTGGTTAAAGCTTCAGTAAGAGCAATAGTGATGGCCACTGTGGTTCTAGCCTCAGTGGCAGTACTGGCAGTCATTGTGGCAGTAGGTTCAGTGACAGTAGTGGCTGTTGCGGTGGTGTGTTCAGCGGAAGCAGCAGTACTGGCTGTGGTGGTTGCAGCCTCCATGGTAGTACTCCTCATCATCGTAGTAGCAGTTCAGTTGAAGTGGTGGCAATTCCAGTGGCTGTAGGTTCAGGAGACTGGTATAAATTGTAATGGTGAGTGTAGTGGTTATAGGTTCATTGGAACCTGTTGTAATTACACCAGTGGTCATGCTGGCAGGTGCCACAGTAGTTGGTTAAGATGAAATGGTGGCTGCTATGGTTGTTCTAGGTTCAGGAGAAGTAGCAGTGGTGGCTGTGGTGGCTGCAGCTTCAGTGGTAGTACTGGCAGTTGTTGTGTTAGTTAAGATGAAGTGGTAGTTCTGGTGGTTATAGGTCTCATAGAAGCACTAGTGGTGGCCATGGTTATTGTAGGTTCAGGAGAGATTGTTGTGGTGGCCATGGTGGTTGTAGCCTCAAGGGCAGCACTAGCAGTAGTTCTGGTTGTCTGTTCGGATGCTGTGGTGGTAGCTGCTGTGGGAGTTCCAGGTTCAGTAGAGACAATGTTTGTGTCTGTGGTGGTTGCTGGTTCATCAGAAGTCATAATGATGGCCGTGGTGGTTACAGGTTCAGTAGAAGTTTAAGTGGTGGCCATGATGGTCATAGCCTCAGCAGCGGTAGTGCTGGCAGTGGTTGTGGTAGTAGGTTCAGATGATGTAATGACTGGAGTGGTGGTTGTAGATTTCGTAGAGGCAGTATTGGTGGCTATGGTAGTTGCAGGGTCATTAGAAGTTGTAGTGGTGGTGTGGTAGTTGTATATTCGGTAGAAGTTATAGTGGTGTTTGGTTCAAAGAAGATATACTGGTGTCTGCAGTGGTTGTAGCCTCAGTGGTAGTGCTGGCAGTTACTGCAGTAGTCTATTCAGATGCTACGCTGGCTATTGCTATGGTGGTAAGTTTGGTGGAACCAATAGTGGCAGCTATGGTGGATGTAGGTTCATTAGAGGTTGTACTGGTGGCCATGGTGATTGTAGGCTCGGTAGAAGTTACAGTGGCCCTGCTGGTTGTGGTCTCAGCAGTAGACATAGTGGTGGCTAAAGTGGTTGTAGGTTTATTAGAGGTTGTAGTGGTGGCTCTGGTGATTGTAAGTTCGGCAGAAGTTATAGTAGTGGCCATGGTGGTAGTAGGTTCAGTAGAAGTTGTAGTGGTGACTATGGTATTGTACATTCAGCAGAGGTTGTAGTAGTGGTCATGGTTGTATTAGATTCAGTAGAGGTTGGAATGGTGGCCATGGTGGTTATAGGTTCAGTAGAAGTTACAGCGGTGTCCATGGTGGTTGTAGTCTCAGTGGTAGTGCTGGCAGTTATTGTGGTGGTTGGTTCAGATGCTGTGGTGACTGTTGTTGTGGTGACAAATTCAGTAGAGATAATAGTAGTGGCTGTGGTGGTTGTAGGTTCAATAGAAGTTGTAGTGGTGGCCCTGGTGGTTATAGGTTTGGTAGACATTGTAATGGTGTCCATGGTGCTTATAGCCTCATTGGTACTGCTGGGAGTTATTATGGTTGTCAGTCCAGATGCTCAGGTAGCTACTGTGGTAGCTGTAGGTTCAATAGAGACAACAGTGGTGGCCGTAGTGGTTGTAGGTTTGGTAGCAGTTGTAGTCATGGCTGTGGTGGTTATAGATTCAGTAGAGGTTGTAGTGGTGGTTGTGGTGGTTGTAGGTACAGTAGAAGTTGTGGTGGTCATGGTGCTTGTAGTTTCAGTAGAAGGGGTAGTAGTGTCTGTGGCAGTTGTAGCCTCAGTGGCACTGCTGGCAGGTATTGCAGTGGTCAGTTCAGATGCTGAGGTAGCTGCCAGGGTAGCTGTAGGTTCCGTAGAGACAACAGTGGTGGCCATAGTGGTGGTAGGTTTGGTAGCAGTTGTAGTCATGGCTGTAGTGGTTGTAGGTTCAGTAGACCTCACAGTGATATCTTTGGTGCTTGTAGCCTCAGTGGTAGTGCTGGAAGTTATTGTGGTAGTCGGTTCAGATGAAGTGGTGGCTGTAGTGGTTGTTGTCGGTTCAGTTGAGGTGGTATTGGTGGCCATGGAGGTTGTAGGTTCAGCAGAGTTTGGAATGGTGGCCATGGTGGCTATAGATTTGGTAGAGGTGATAGCGGTGGGCCTGGGGGTTGCAAGTTTGGAAGACATTGTAGTGGTATCTGTGGTGGTTGCAGACTCAGGGGTCATGCCAGCAACTGTTGTGAGAGTTGGTACTGATGATGTGATGACAGCTGTGGTGGATATAGGTTCAGTAGTGGTGGCTGTGGTGGTTGTAGGTTTAGTAGAAGCTGTGTTAGCTGTGGTGGTTGTAGTTTCAGTAAAAGTTGTAGAAGTAGCCTTGGAGGTTGTAGGTTCTGCAAAAGTCATGGTGGTGGCCATGGTAGTTGTAGGATTGGTAGATGTTGTAATGGCAGCTGCAGTTGTACTAACCTTAGTGTTAGTGCTGGAAGTTTTTGTGGTAGTGAGTTCAGATGATATGGTGGCTGCTGTGGTAGCTGTCAACTTAATAGAGAGAGTACTGGTGGCTATGATGGTTGTGGGTTCTGTAGAGGCAGCAATGGTGCCCAAGGTAGTTATAGCTTCAGTGGCTGTGCTGGCAATCTTTGTGGTAGGGAGTTCAAGTGAATTGGTGACTGTAGCTGTGGTTGTAGGTTCAGTAGAAGCAGTACTAGTGGCTCTTGTGGTTTTCTCCTTAGTGGAATTGCTGGGAGTCACTGTGGTATTTGGTTTCGTTGAAGTGTTTGCTCCTGCCATTGTTTTATGTTCCATAGAAGTGGTAGAAGTTGTAGTGATAGCATTAGTTGGTTCTGTTGAAGTGCTAGCAGTGGTCATAGTGATGGTAGTTGAATCAGATGTTGTGGTTGAATCCATTACAGTAATAGGTACTATAGTTTCACAACTAGTAGATGAGCTCGTCCCATCGTTTTGAGGGAGCTGAATAATGGATGCATTATTATTTTTCCTATTATACACCAGACATTCTATGAGTACTCCGATGGTTGTTGTCAGTGCACAGGCTAAGAGACAAGCCAGGAAGATTCCCCAAAGAGACCAGTCACTGAAGAAATTCCATGTTACCTGGAAAGGACTTACATAAGATTACTACAAATGAAACCAAATGTTTCTAGCAAAACTAATGCCTTCAATAATCCTTTTTATATATAAATCACTTCATTTAAAGGATGTATAACATAAGAAACTATCTTAATAGTATCAGTAAGAAATAGTGACTTAAATTTCAGTTTTTATTTAGGAAAGACTTTGTCCTTATACTGTATTTAATATAGGAACAAAGAAACTTTCTCTGTCCTTATACTGTATTTAATATAGGAACAAAGAAACAAACCTTTCCTGCTTTCTTTTCATATGGCTGCATTTCAAACTAAGAAAAATATTAAATGTCTTCTTGGAAATTCCTTATTCTTTCCACTGTCAAAAGAACTATCTATACATATGTGGATGCCTGCTGTAGACTGATTTCAGGGACTCCAAAGATCTGATTAAATTTTCTTCCACTTTGGGTCTTTCATAAATTTGTCTGCATTGGAGCCTTCTACTTTAACAGCATTAATTAAAGCCTTATCAAATTTTCTGGCTAACTTTTCATACCAGTTAGTATTTAGCAGCATGAAATTCAGGGCTAAAAATATTTACAAAATCCATTTTCTGCTACCACCAGCTATTTTCACTTGATAAGATGTTTCTGCATTCCTAGTCTTTCATCTATAAAAATTTATATAATAAGAATAAGGAATTAGTATCAGTAAATTTACTTTCGTAAATTCTGAAGTATCATGCATACATGATTTGTTATTGTAGAGGAAATACTGCATAGTATTAAAACATGTAAGTCTTGAGATCAGAGAGCCTTGAATTTAAATCCCACACCTCTAATATCCTGAGCAAGCTTCTTAATTTGTCTAATTATCAGCTTGACTTATATCAAAATTGATGATAATAATATCTACTTCAATGTGTTGTTGAGAAAATTTGAATAAGAAATATCCTCTATAATAAAAAATAACCTCAAAATATCTTTTGCAGAAGGCAATACACTGTACTAATTACAAGCATAGGTACTGGAGTCTAACAGATTCAGGTTTAAATTTTAACTCTACCTTTCACTGGATAGATGGTGGCATTTGGAAATTAGCATTATGCAAAGCCTTGACGCTCTCACATGGATAACATCATCTATTTCATAGGGTTGTTATAAATGGTAAATAATGAAACTGTATGGGTAACATTTTCCTAGCACTTACTAAGTATGCAAAGAAACATTTGGTTTCTCTAATTAGCTCATTATTATCCCTAATCCCTTGACTGAAAAAAGATCACTAAAGGAAACACAGAGTAGAAGTCTTTACAACATGCAGAGTAGCTCTTAAATGTCCCAAAATATGAGACTCTGTTTCAGACAATAAACCCCAGTTTGGGTGTTGTAAGTGATGCTCACAGGCAATCAGGAGCAGTGCAAAGGCACTGAGTACCAAGGCTGAGGGAATTCAGGGCACCAAATAAGAGAGTGCAAAGATAAACGGTATCTCTTGCCTCATGTTCTCTAGGCCTTAGAAAGAAGTCAAAGGTGAAGGAGAGGAAGGCCTATACTCATTTCTTAGATTGAAAAGGCAATTACCATTATCTTTTGTTTAAATCTTCAAAAAGAGGAGTAAGATTAATAGAAACTAATCTAAAACAGACTTCAGACCTGTGTTCCAGGAGCTATTATTGCCACTAACTAGGTATGTTACAAACATTAAAAACTTCCTGGACCACTGGTTGCCCATCGATAACTAAGTAAATGTATCTAAAGTAACTTTCAGCTTCTGGAATCATCAGAGACACATTCTCTAAATAATTCTTATATATAAAAAGCATTCTTCCACAATGTCTTTTGACATAAGGAGTTTATCTTCTCATAATTTACCACAGTTTCTTCAAACTGTCTCTACAGTAGGATTAATCTAATTAATTAATTAATTGATCAGGGTGTAGTCCAGAGCAAGAAGCACTGAACCAAACTGACAAGCATCATCAGCCATCATCAAAACTAAGTTTTGCCTTATGAGAAAAGATCAGACCTCAATATGAAAAAAAGAATAACAAACAGAATCAGGAATATAGGAAATCCGCTTTGGGAAACAAACCAGAAGTGGTGCTAACTGGTTTCTGAGTCAAGGTTGAAAACACATGCGGTCAAAACCAGAAGGCTAAGAGAAGGCCCGCAGTTAGGCTCAGAGGCAGGAAGGGAAGGAAGAGTGAGACCCACAGACTAGGTCCTCAGAGCCTTAACACATGACTTCATCTTCCACGGAGCAAGGGTTAAAATGTCTCACTGTCAGTGCAGTTGTTGACATCATCTACTCAGCCTTCCAAATAAGGGAGCCCATAACTTTGCTTTATTTCCTTCCTTTGAGTCTCATATATTTTCTTTAAACTCTGTATATATTCTTTTATTCCATCAAGATCATTAGCTCTTTAAATGAAGACCTCCATAAATCCATCTCTTTTGCATTCCCTCTCAGTGACTTTACATGTTCAAAGAATGTTGTAGATTTCCAGAAGAATGGTGATAATATTAATGATTGGATGCTTTTCCTCCAAAATATTATTAGATCAAGAGTATTTCCATGTTGATTACATCATAACCTGGAGAAACAGTGTTGCCCCAAACATTACCTGACAACGTTGGAATTCTCTGTTTGGAGATTCTGAGTGTCCAAGGGTCCCTGTGTTCGTGCAGACACCAGTTAAATCAGTACCAACATCGCCAGTTACATCAGCTGATGTTGGAAACTGACATGACGAACTGTGAGCTTCATGGTTTCTTGGGTTGAATGACTGTGCATAGAAAAGAATGGAGAAAAAAAAGAAGCTATTGTATTTGATGCCTAAGGCAAAATACTCTGACAAATATAAATCAGACTGTTGAATATTATGACATATTTGACCAAATAAGATCATTTGAAACCTGATTAAAGAACAAAAGAATATATTCATTATATTATTCTCAAAACATGGAAATCTAGTTATGTCATCCTAAGTTATATTTAATTATTTTACAAAATTATTGAAGCAAAATCCAGGAACAGGCATTATCTTTTATTCTCATCATATTTAATACATTTGTTAAATATCATTACATTGCAAGTTAGTATAGGGAGATCATATTTTTAAAAGTCCCACTATTAAAATTCTAGAGACCTTACGGCTTCTTTTTTTTTTAAGTTATGTTATAAGATGTGGTCCATATACACAATGGAATATTACTCAGCCATCAGAAAAGATGAATACCCAACTTTTGCATCAACATGGATGGGACCTGGGACCGGAGGATATTATGCTGAGTGAAATAAGCTGAGCAGAGAAAGTCAATTATCATACGGTTTCACTTATTTGTGGAACATAATGAATAGCATGGAGGACATTAGGAGAAGGAAGGGAAAAATGAAGGGGGACAAATTGGAGTGGTGATAGAGAACTTAAGGCTTATTAAAACAACTCTTTTGAGAAAACCAGTATCTACAAAGGTGAAGTGAGACTCTGGATTTAGTAAACTGCAAAAAGCCACTTCTTCCACTGCAATTAAACAACAAAACAAAACAAAGGGAGAGCTTTGAAAAAACTGAAATTAGATTATCTAAAATTAAAAAATAGATAAAAAATAAAATAAAATTTTAAAAAGGAAGGAGCTTTTCCAAAGTGATCTAACATCATAGACCATCTTCTTGTCTGGGGGCATTTGTGGATTCTGAGTATGAGCCTGAGGTTCTGACTACCAAAAGAGGTCAACATAATTTTTGGTATTCATGTGAGGCTGACATAACGTATTTGAAAATAAAGGAGCCCCAAAGCAAGGCGTTTTTAATGTTCTGGGATAGCTCCAGAGGCTAGGGGCCTGGGACAGAAAGGCAGAATAAAATCTATAGCAGTATCATAGTGAACAAAAGAGAAAATCATTCTAGAAGAAGGAGACTTAACTATAAACACAAGACTGGTTTCCCCCCTTAGGACAGTTGTCAGATATTGAGGCTTTCTGGCATAGAAACCTAAAGGATTGACCGTGAATCCTTTGAAGGTCAGTCTCTCAAAAATGTAGGTACAAATATTCTCTAAACAAAATAGTAGTAAATTAAATCCAAAAATATATAAAAATATAAAAATTTCACAGCCACTTACGATAAAATTTCTCAGCAAACTAGTAATAGACGGATCCTCCATAATCTGATAAAGAATAGCTCCATGAAATTTAAAGCTAATGTTATAATTAATGATGAAATACTTCACGCTTTCCCCCTTAATTTGGGAAAAAATGCATGATACTCACTTTTATCACTTCCATTCAATATTACACTGGAGGTCTTAGTGCATTAGGTTAAGAAAACAACATGTTTTAAAATTTGAAAAAAGGATAATGATATAACTGAGTTTACAGAAAATCTGAAAGAATCTACAAAGAAATATAATGAATTAATGAGGTCACTGGATGCAAGGTAAGAATACAAAAATCAATTGGATTTCTATAAAATAGCAAGAAAACATTTGAAATTGAACTTAATATGCCATTTAAAACAATACAAAAAGCATCTAGAAATAAATCTAAACATAAAAGTACTTAATCTCTACATTAAAACCTCAAATCATTGTTAATAAAAATTAAAGAAGACCAGTATAAAAGAAAAAGCAAGCCATGTCCATGGATTTGAAGAATTTTGGTATTATGATATAAATTTTCATAAATTAAATGCTGATTCAATGATCTCCCACTCAAACCTGCAGAAGTATTTTAATGAAGATCAACAAGCTGATTCTAAAAATTTCTATAGAGATGCAAAGGATCTTGAATAGCAAAGATAACTTGAAGAGCAATGTTTAAGTACTACCAAATTTCAAGATTTATTATAAAGCTAGAGTAATCAAGACAGTGTAGTAGTGGTACAAGAGCAAATAGAACAATGGAACAGATAAGAGTCCTAAGACAGACCTACACATACATAGTCTTTTGATTTACAAAAAAAGCTTCATGTTCAGTAGAGACAAGATGACCTTTACATCTGCATAGCAAAAAATCTCCATATTGAAAAACAATGTTTAACCCTACTTCCTGCCACATATAAAAATGAATTTTAAATGGACCATAAACCTAAATGTAAAACTGAAATGATCAGGCTTCCAGATAAAAACATAGGACCTTTTTAACTGAGTTTCTTGACACTACAAAGACACAGTGAAAGACTCACAAGGCTAGAAGGTCCATGAAGAACATCTTCAGGGGAAGGGAGTACTGATCTAGAATCAAGAGAACAATTTCTCTGCCTTGTAATTTCCTTGTTAGGGCATAGGGACAAAAATATTTTTCCCTCAAGAAAATGTAATTTTCCATTCAAATCTGTACTGATCTCAGCACATTTCCATGGCTGTTCCCAATATCAAGGTCTTTAATTAGGCATGCAGTTACATAAAAGACAACCATAAATGCACAGCACTGAATTGTTTCTTCTAAAAATATGAACAATAGTCAAATAACTATATGATTAAATTCTAAATATTTCACTGAATACAATTCTTTACCAAAAACAGAAATTCATAAAAAAATTAAAGAGACGGGACGCCTGGGTGGCTCAGTTGGTTAAGCCTCTGCCTTCGGCTCGGGTCATGATCCCAGGGTCCTGGGATCGAGTCCCACATCGGGCTCCTTGCTTGGTGGGGAGCCTGCTTCTCTCTCTGCCTCTACCTGCCTACTCTGCCTGCTTGTGTTCTCTCTCTCTCTTTGACAAATAAATAAACAAACAAAATCTTAAAAAAAAAAAAAAATTAAAGAGGCCAATCTGAAGGATTTGCTAGTTTGCTGCCCAGGCCTAGACTTCACTCACAGGATTACCTTCTCACCTTCAAAGATATATAGAAATCTGGGGACCTGGGTGGCTCAGTGGTTTAGCTTTTGCCTTCGGCTCAGGTTAAGATCCCAGGTTACTGGGATAGAGTCCCAGTCCCACATCAGGCTCCCTGCATAATGTGGAGTCTGTCCTCCCTCTCCCTCTGATCCTCCCACCTCCGCCCATGCATGTGCACCCTCTCTATCTCAAATAAATAAATGAAATATTAAAAAAAAGATATGTAGATGTAGAAATCTTTGAGCTATGGCAAATCTACACATTACACTAAAAATCTAGGCAGTTAACACATAATCCATACATACATTTTAAAAAACGTAAGTTGTTGGATGCCTGGGTGGCTCAGTTGGTTAAGTGACTACCTTCGGTTCAGGTCATGATCCCGGAGTCCCAGGGTTGAGTCCCTCACCAGGCTCCCAGCTCCACAGGGAGTCTGCTTCTCCCTCTGACCTTCCTCCCCTCTCATGCTCTCTCTCACTCTCTCTCAAATGGATAAATAAAATCTTTAAAAAAAAAAAAAAAGGAAACACAACTTGTTAAATGCTATCAAATTGAAATTTTATTGGCTTGTGCTTGAATTACAATAACTGTACAGAATTATTTGAACAGGATATTAAATTTTACCCCCCAAATTGCTAATATCTTAGATTAATGAATACTGAACTAAATTTCTCAATTATGTATATATTGATATACAGAAAAAATACAAGTTTTCTAATTGTCTAAGTAGTAAAAAGAATAGCTAAAAACTGGTTTTCATGTAAAACTTTTAGGAATCCCTTTTTAGGAAGAACCATGTTATAATAAATATTAGGATTGTACAAATATTGAAAACAAAATTCTGAGCCACCTGAAATATCACAGAGGTGTCATTAATACTCACCAGCTGGTTTTCAGAATGTTCGATATTCACTATGTATTTCCCATGTTTTCTCTCCATTTTTGAACTGTATCACAAGCTACCAGAAACATTTTTCAGCCTGTCCATTGCCCTTTATACCTGCAATCGTGAGAAATGATTAAGTCGATTAATATTAAATCTACTATGAGACATAAGTACCAGTGTGGATTAGACTAAATAATAAATCATTATTCTTTATGTGGGATCCACCTTAAAGGAAGAAGTGGGGCATTAAGCAATTAAGGGTGCAAGAAAATCAGGCCACCTCTATGATTACATTCTTAATATTACTCCGCCAGACAGCCCACCTAGCCGAAATGGCAACCATACCACCTTTCCTTCTATCTCCTATCACATCTTTCACAGAACTTTCCCTTCTGACTTTACGAAGAGCCCAAGTCAGAACTCTGAAATAAGTGAAGGTATTGCTCCTTTACTTAGAAGACATGAACAGCTTTCCCCCATTATTGGCAACAACCACTGCTCCTCTCCTCAAGTCTTGACCTTCTTGGGTTCCTTCCTACTCAAAAATTTTTCCAATCTATTCTCTGCTTCTGGGGAAAAAAAAATTAATCTAACTTGGTTTATAACCTTAAACCCTAATCGAATACAGATAGTCAATCTGATGAACAAATCTCTGGAAGTATTTCCACAAGGGTCCCTTTTCTTCTCTTCTATGGGAACTATTTGGCATACTTAGCCAGAAGATTACTTCTGATTCTGGTTGTAGTTTAGTAACATGATACATGGGCTTGTGGGGCTCTTCAAACTTCTTCAAATTACATTCAAATGCAAAAGAATTTTTTCTTATTTGTAGAAGTAGCTTTGACAAGATCTAAAACACAATGGGGAAGAGATAAATAACATTTTTAAAGATATTTAATTATTTCAGAGACAGAGAGAGTGCACACGCACGTAAGCGCAACTGGGGAGAGGGGCAGAGAAGAAGCACAAGTGGGGAGAGGGGCAGAAAAGAAGCAGACTCCCCCTTGAGCAGGGAGCCCAATGCAGGACATGATCCCAGCACCCTGGGACCATGACCTGAGCCGAAGGGAGACAACGAACGGAGCCACCCGGAAGCCCTGAGATAAATAATGTCTAATCTCAAAAGAACAGTTATCAATTGGCTCCCAACACGTATATCCAGGGACTCCCAAATAAAAAAGATGTTTGCAAAGAATACTGCTTAAATAACCTAAAATATCTAAAAAAATATCTCTTCAGTAGTAATCCATCCATAGAGAATTTCTTGTAAAAAAAAGCAAGAAAGCACTTTGTTGTTGTTGCTGAAAACGTCTCATGTGGCACTTTTTAATCTAGCCAGATTATCTGTCAGTTGTCAAAGGTAAGAATTACCCAATAATAGAACTACAAGAGGTCAAGAGATCTTGTAGTTCAGCCTTGTCATTTTAAAGTTCAGCCTTGGAAATGTGTGTCCAGACAGGGAAAATGATGAAACTAGTTGTATGGTGGAAACTGGCTTCCTTTCAATCCAATACCCTTTCCATAACTAGTTTGCGAACAGTGACTTCATAAGAAGATGGACAGTCTAGTAGGAAGTCAAGCAAATATTCTTTTGAAAACAAGTAAAACAACAATTTCAAAGACCTGGAGTTGGAAAGGATGCTAGATGGGATGCCTGTTATAAACCCAGAGCCATCTGAGACTTACTAAACCAGACCTTTAGGGACAGGATCTGGAAGTCTGGTTTTTTGGCCAAATGTCAAGTAATCCTTATCAGACAATGTTTGAGAAATATTTTACAAAACAATGATTCCAAGGGTGACTATGAAGTCTCTTCATATCTTTAGGAAGAAAACTGTGTGTGAAGAGACCTCAATTTTCACAAATTAAAAAAGGGATAAGTTTTTAAATTGCTTATTCATTCAACAAACACTACTGAGTCCCTACTACATCCAAGCATTGTGTAAGGTGCTGAGTGTTCAATGGTGAATGAAAGAGTCAAAATTCTTGACCTCATGGATTATAGTAAAACATATATTATATATTAAAACACTTTCTGAAAGTCATTCCTAAAGTTCTCTTATAAAGGCATTCTTTAGCTAAAAGTTTCCATTAGAATCCACAGAAGCAAAGTAGAACAGCTCTGGGGTCTACAGAACATAAAAGGTGTGAAAAATCTAGGGGAAGGTTTTGTTCTAGGGAGGAGGAGAAGAAAGTGCTTCACCCTTCCATGCTGAAACTAAGCCAATGAAACAATGGCTTCTGGCTCTGTCTAAGCAGAGTGATCATATAATTTATCACTCTAAACCAAAATACTTTTGAGAGCAGAAGGAAACAGTATTAATAATTCAATTTAACAGAGACAATACTACCCCATACAAACTAGGACATGTGGTCACTTAGCTGTAAGGAACCCATGTGAATTAGAAAATTCACTAGTACTGGGGCGCCTGGGTGGCTCAGTCAGTTAAGCATCCAATTCTTGGTTTCTGCTCAGGTCATGAACTCAGGGTGGTGAGATCAAGCCCTGTGTTGGGAAACACACTCAGTGAGGAGTCCATGTGTCCCTCTCCCTCTGCCCCTCCCCCTGCTCTATCTGTCTCTCTCAAATAAATAAATAAATAATTTTTTTTTAAAAAAAGGAAAATTCACTAGTACTACTCATGACCACTGGATAAGCCAATGAATTTAAAAATCAGTATCTCAAGTGAACACGTATTTCAGTTGAATAAAACACATATTTTACTTGCGCTTTTAAAAAAGCTGGTATCACATTGTGGTACTAAGATATACATATTGAGACTGTGCACTGGAGTTCCAAAACCACTGAGGAGATAAAGCAGATAAAATTCCACATTGTATGTCATGAAGTCTCTGACAAAACAGTATCAACGTTCTACTCTCTCATTAAGTAACTCTTATAAAAGCCAAAGATTGAACAATAAACTATTGTGTCCTAAATTCTCAGTATAAAATTCAAACTTTCTCTATTTCTAAAGAACACATCTTAGCCTTTTGTTATATCACAGACCAACTGCCAGAGCAGAGTGCACCTGGATGATGACAACGTGCAAATACAGGTAACTCGTATCGGTATGCGGAGCATCTCCTCCTAAAGCTCTCTGAGATCTGTAGGACTTGAAGTCAAAAGGGCTTGGAAGTCTATCTATATGAATTGGGAGTGGTTGACAGTCCTTTAACAACTGGTAAATTTTTTTAGCCAAAAGAACGCAGAACCTGTTAATAGGTCATCTATTAGAAAATGAACCAGACTGGAGTCTTAAAGATTACAATAAAATTAATTTATTGATCAAGTTACCCACTTCAGGTCATTACTATAGTTTATCCTATCGTGCTGAGTGATCAAAATGATAACCAAACAGGTATCATATTTGAAAGACTTCGTTCAGTACAGTATTTAGATCTGCATTTCCTATTAACTTAAACTTGATGAGATAATCATTTAAAATGCACAACAATTGTAGAAGAAGTTTTTAAGTGTCAAGTCAAAATCAACCCAATGCAATGACTATGCCAAAAAAAAAAAAAAAAAAAAAGATCAAAGTGGGAAGGTGAACAAACTAAAATTATCCCCGTATTTGTTCAAGAAGCTACCTCTCCTGCCCATTCCAGGAGAAAACAACAACCTAAAGAAAGTAAGGGGTTATTGTTCCTTCCCATCAAGAGAAGGCCACAGGAGGGCAAGTGAGGTGCAGATGACCAGTAAAGACACAAACATGTCACCCCTTGTAGAAGAATGTCACTTGGGCACACTCTGTGGGCACTACTCCACACCTGGCTGGTTTCTGACTCAGCCACATCTTGTCATTATTACTGACATTTCTTGTGAAGAGCTGCCTCTTCTAGTACATTCCACAACTAATCTTATCTAATCCTCCTAATACCTCCCTGAATTAAATATTACACACCATTTTCCTGGTAAAATACCAAAGCATTTAGTGATACTTTATGAGCCTTGAGATAAGTTTCTGGCTTCCCATTCATCCACCCAAGGAGTGATTGTTAAAATATTTATTATATTCACTGTGGTCACATTAAATGCAGAGAAAAATTAGGAGATGCAGAAGAGGGAAAGATACTTAGATACCTAATTCTTCTGGACAGAAAAATACAACCAGAGACTCTGGTAACATGTCTCAAGATATACCAAAGCAGCACCTTGGCTGTTTACTGGCAATAAGAAAGGAGTGGTGCTAATACTTGAAGTAGACTTGCCTACTAGTGAGAGTATGCTGGGGTTTACACTCAAAGTGTATCAAAGGCTTAGAAATGCCTAGGCAGAAGGCAAGACTTACTATCTGTATTAACGATTCTCTTAAAATCTCTTTCTCCGGTAACTATAGTAGCCCCATCAGCAACCCCAGTCTACTCTCCTCTGAGGATTGACAGTGATCCTTAAACACCAATCACATGACTCCACACCCCACTTGGTATTCTAAAGGACTCCCAATACATTTAGGGGAAAAAAATGCCAATTTTTAACAGAGGCAAAAAAAAAAACAACCCATAGATAGGGGTAGAGGTAGATAGAGGTAGATACCCTAAAATCTCTAAAATCTTAGCTTGTACCACCACTACCCTTATTCATTGCTCTTCAAACATGTTCTCTTTTTTCATGAATTTGTTGGAAGCATGTAACACGATCTTTGGAAACTCATGCCCCATCCCTCATGCCTTTCCCAAGCTTGTTTCTACCAGTCTGTGGCAAGCAAAATGATGGCCCACCAAAGGTGTCCACATTCTAATTCCCATGGGTATGTTAGCTTACAGGACAAAGTGGAATTAAGGTCACGGACAGGATTGAGATGGGTAATCAGCTGACCTTAAAATAAAAATTATCCTAGATTATCCAAGTGGACTCAATGTAGTCACAGGTCCTTAAAAGTAGAAGAGGGAGACAGAGTAATTCAGGGAAAGAGATGTGACAATGGAAAAAATGTTCAGAGATGCAGTTTTGCTAGATTTAAATAAGGAGAAAGGCTCTCACAAGCTAAGGAATGTGAAAAAAAAACAAAAAATAAAAAACTCTAGAATCTGAATAAATCAAGAAAACGCATTC